TTTAGCAGTTGGGAAGGGAGGAATTATATCCGTTTGAAAAGAAACCTCGCACACGCAGAACATCCAAAACGATCGATAAATTTCCCTCGACCTTCTTTATCGCCGGGGAAATATCCTCTAGCCTAAAATCCCTCTCCGAAGGGGGATCCCGTTGTTTTGGAGCTGAACGGATCAGGCTACAATTGCAGCGGGGAGCTCTCCACGGCCAAGTCCGATTTTTTTTTTGGGAAAAGCGGGTGATGTCGGCCGCAGCACCCTGGAGGTCCCAGCCCTGCTCGCTCTCTGTGCTCTGTGCATACGTACCCATATCTGTGTGTATGGTGTGCGTGCGGGGATACATCCAGACAGAGAAACCGCAAGCAGAGCCTGAAGAGCACAAGCTTTTCYCTGGGTTTTGTCAGAGATAAAACAGGCCGGGGACAGTGAGAACAAAAACCAAGAGGACTCGGGATGGGATTTCCCAGTATTTTCCTCTTCTCCCTAAATTTTTRTATCATTCTCCCACTCGTCGCCTCGGCCATTTCTCGTGGGCTCCTCCCGCGCAGTCCCCGGCCTCTGCTGAGCTCCAGCCCGGCCTGCGCCGGGAACACCTCCCCAAGCCCCTCTCTTGAACTTTTCCTACCCAAGGTCTTGACAGGCTGCTCTCGMTGTCCTCTTGGCGCCTACAGGGAGAAAATCTGGCAGGGGCTCCCTTCCCAGCAATCCCCGATCTGCTCCAAGAGCACCGAGAGGCAGCCTCTCTCGGAGGGAGGGGTGCGCTACATTCGCAGTCAGATTACATGGCTGGCCTCAGAGGCACTAGCTCCGGATTTCCAAACTAAAACTCATCTTTTAAAAGACGAGCAAAGAAGAGATTGTGAGGAAGGTCTCAGATACGGGGACGTCGGGGTAAGACGGGTGTTCATGGGCTAAACCAGACTGAACTTTCGCGGGTATGGGGGTGGCTGTGAGGGAAGTTTCAGCCTCCCCTTAACTTTCTTTTCCAGGCGGGATCCGTCTCCCTCTTTCCCCTCCTGCCCCAGAGATTTATGCCAACAGCAGGGAGGAGAGGTAACCTAGGCAGGTGGTGTTTGGCGTGGGGCAGAGTGAGTTAAAGGAGAGGGTGAAATGCTTAATTTAATTCTTTTCTGGACGTTCTAAACCCTGTTGAGTAGGTCTGATCCTTCAGCGAGTCCTTCGCAAAAGCRCAGTGCTCGGCGGGAGTGACGGGCCGGGCCGAGCCGAGCCGGGTGCCCATGACCTGGGCCGGGCTCGGGGGTCCGGGGGAGCCCGGGATGGGGCACCACGGCCTCGGCCGAGCAGGTGSATTCCGTCCGCAGCCGGCCCCGAGCCCCCGGAGCCGTGCATGGACAGGGCCTCGCTTCCCGCACATCCCGGGCTCGCGGGTGGGACGGACACATGGGATGCTTCCCCCGTACCTCCCTCTGGAGGRGAGCAGCCCCGAAAACCTCACCCCTCTATTTCGGTTCTGCACAGCCGGGCCAGCGCTGGTGCTGCCGGGATTCCCGTCACAGCGGCAGAGRACCGCGACCAGGACCTGGAATAGGCCTTGCTGCCCGAATTCCTCTCGCCGACCCGGGGAACAGCGATCGGGCAGGGCCGCTTTAGTTTTTCTCTTTTCTCCGCTAATTCAGGGCCCCGTCCCCTCTCGCTCCGAACCAGCGCCACTTGCGCGCTACCCAGCCCGGTTCCGCGCAGCTGTTTTGGTCCCGGKGGTGTCGGACTCGCGGTTCCAATGCAATGCCAGTAACACGGGACATTCGTAACCCGCAGCTTTACCCGCGAAGCCTGAACCCGCACCCATCCGTGCCAGACGTTTTTAACGCCATGTGCGGGGGAAGCGGGAGGAAACACCCGCAGCTGCGTGGGGCGCGATGAGCAGCGMGGTACCGGCAGCGTGTCCAGCCGGGCCGGGCCGGGCCGGGCCGCTCGGCCGCTGGAGCATCCCCGCCCGCCGCTGCTGCCGTTCGGTGGGCGCTGCGGTGCCGGTCCCGCCCGCTGCGCGGGGTG